ACACATTTCATTATGATATAGGTTGTTGACCAGTCACAGAAGCTTAGTGGCTGCAGCCAGTTGCGTAAAGATACTAGTTACCATTCACATTTCATTACGATATTGGTTTTTGACCAATCACAGAAGCCTACAAACCAAGTACTTACACATCATTTATAACTGAGAATCTAGTAAACATTTCGTTCGAGTGTGAATATTAAAATTTCATTTGATAATAGATTACACTTAGCAAAGTTTTAATTTATTTTATTATTAGTAATTGTTTACGTGGAATATCATTTAAAATAAATTGGATCGCAATTTCACATTGATCCTCGCTCGCAGGCGGACTGGCTACCAAAGCCATCTTTGGCAGAGTTTGATAGGGTTAGGTGGCAGTCCGCTAGGTGGCCTTGGCTGAATCCATCATGTCAACTACCACGAAACGATTAAATAAAAACGTTTCACTTACAAAAGTTACCATAAGTCGTAGAAAACGTACCGTATGAAACTCGATGTAATGGAATTAATATACTCGAGTGAAGTTGAGCGCCTTTGACAATTTACCGGGAACTACGAATGATGGAACATCGGGTTAACGAATTCAAATTGTAAGAACCAAAGGAAAATGCAAGCTTATCACACCGGCATAAAATAGTTGCTTTCACCCTGATATTATACAAAGTGACACGTTAAACGTTCGCATTTATAACCTTAAAGCAATATTTTGCCATTAAATGTATTATATAAGTAAGTATGTTGTATGTGGAGTACACAAGTTTATTTAACATGCTTTTTCGAATTCCCGTGAAAATACGACACGTGACTGACGTTCCAGCGTTCTAACGTGGCAACACCCACATGAGCATTATTCCTTTCAGTAGTAAAGTGACAGTTTTGAAAACGAAAATTCTAAACCACCGTTATCAATAATAGCAGGAAAGGTTGTAACGAAAGTTGGTAACTATCTGAGTCATTTAATGCGTCTACTCAAACAAATAAGAAAAGTTTACTTTAGCTCTGAAGTAAGTAGAAAATACACAGAGAATGTCATAAAATGCATCCCAAATGTATTTCAAATGCTGCTGTCAAGCTTGGAACTTCTGAACCAACTGAGAACCATTAGAGCAAAATACACCACACATCAGAAGAATATCCGGGCCAGGAAGTAAATGCCAAGTGGTTTTGATTGAATTGAGTGTGAGAATTTTGTTAAAGTAATTTGAATTGTCGTTATAAATTATTCTTGGAAAAATATATAATTACTTTTGTAAAACATTGTAATAGTGGTTAAAATGCTTATAGAGCCACTCGCTCTTGCATAACAGTTCCACTCACGTCAATATTGCACATATGAGGATAGCAACAACATGAAAAGGAAGATAACACTTTTGGCGTTGAGGGTTTGGCCATTTAAAATAAGGATTATAAAAAGAGAAGAAGTTCTGTGTAGAACACAGAACGTAGATGTCAAAATGTTTCGTTCTTTTCATATTCTACAAAATTAAAATATATTCTTTAATTTCTGGGAGTGTGCTAGACACTTTATACTATAATGAAATAATTCCATAATCCAACGAACACGTTAGTAAACGGTAATTTAAAACACTGAGATACTTCCTTTGTTACAGTTTATATACTTGTTAGGTCAACCATTTATGAGTTCTGCGTTTTTTTTGTGTCATTTTCTTCGCGTGTTCTCATCCTTATCTTAATAACGCAAAGAAACGCAACCCACTCAGTACCTCCAGGACAACGACAGTGTACCGACACGCAACGTACAGGCCAGAAAATACAACTGGGCGGACTGATTACATCTTAGATGGCATCGCTAAACCACCTCGGGGGCGACTGTACAGGTATTCAAACGCTAGTTTTTATAGTACTCTTCCTGTAAGTGATTGTGCATTCTCTCTAATCGGAATAAATCCTAACCTCTGTTTCCCAACCTACTCTTACCCGCTTTGCATATCAAAGAGTACAGGAATATTTCAAAGTAGTGAACATTACCTCTTCGCTGAGCGGGGAACAGTCTTCGTGCTACTTATACGAAAATTTCGGTATTCGTGCGAATTGTCTTTAAGCTTTATTATTTACACAAGTTATTAATGAGCTTTTACTTACTCGATCTTACGATGGTGCTTCGTACGAAGTGAAAGTTATGAAACAGTACACCGGAAAACGACGAATTATTTTACTACAAATATAGAACGGTATGTCAACAACTACAGGCATTTTACATTTCAAATTGAATAAATTGAGTACAACTAACAGTTTTTGGATGAAATATTGGATTTAAAATGGGTTCTCCAGTGGCGGATGTTACATAGCCATTTTTTTGTCTGGTCCTCACCTAGATATCGGTTTCAAACCACGAGATAAAAGCGTGAGTAATGAGGAGGGTATGGCAACGGAAATGTGAAATTTTGGTAGCAAGGAAAAGTGAACTCTACGAGAACATTTTTGTCCTTAAATCTCATATAAAGTGACTAGAATTTGAGGCCTAGAAATGGTGTATTGTCTGACAACAACGCTAAGGGTTGCTAGTGGAAAAATTGAAATTATAAAATGTACCATTTCACCGTCGTGCAACATTGTTAAAACTACACATCGTGTGGACAGATCGTTGCCTGTCATTTAATAGTCAACTTACATTCGATATCGTAACTTAACGTATTAATTGCATTAGTTGTTGCATTAGTAAAAGATGTGGTTGGTCAATTTCTCAACACAATTGTCGCGGTGAAAATATTATTATTATTTAATCAATAGTTTTAGTGAATGTAATAATCACTTTCATTTTCTCTCACAAATAGTTTTACCTCCTTGTTCGTCGAAACCCTTCGAAATGGAGATTTTATTATGTCTTCAACAGTAGTTCTAGTGTTACAGATTTAAATCTGCCAACTTTAAGCTGCTAGGATTTTCTTTCCTCGTTATAAAGACTTCCTAGAAAACTCCGCCGCGTCCTGCAAGGTCAGAGCCCGAGTGGATATCTATCCTGTCTGTATCTCCTAAGAATATAGTCAGGCTACCTATATCGTCAGTGCCCACGACCATGACTAAGTGGCTCACCGATATCGCTCCAGCGACGCGACGCAGTTGTCAAAATTCTTGTGCTTCGTCAGGTAGAGCTGTTCCGTGCCGTTCTTGAAGTGGCCGCAAGAGTACGAGATATTCACGGCCGTCTCTTCTTTGTCACCAGTTAGAATCCATACCTGTATGAAACGAACATATCAATGCAACCACATCAAATACTCACTTAACATATCTTAAAATTTCTTTACATCAAATATGAAGAAAATGAATGAAAATTGTTTTTGTAGATATTTTTGTTTACTTCTAGTTCGAGAATGAATATTTATACAACTCAAAATTCCTTTTCACAAAAGTTACTGAGTTACAGAACAAACGTGAATAGGTGTAGGGATGGGGCTGGGAATGAGAGTATGGCTAAAACAGGTGTGGGACATTCGGGAGGGAATGCAGTGGCAAGGGAAATGGCGAGGGTGTGAGCAAGGGCTGGGCAAGGGCTGGGCAAGGGCTGGGCAAGGGCTGGGCAAGGGCTGGGCAAGGGCTGGGC